CAGTATGACTTTTTGGTAACAGTAGGACACTTAGGAAATATGAAAAGCCAGGCACAGTGGCTCAGTCCTGTAATCCCAACACTCGGGAGGCAGAGCAGACAAACGCTTACAAATGAGGCCAGCCTGGTCTATGTAGTAAGTTCCAGGTCATCCAGGGCTATATCAAGAGACCCTGCCTCAAAAATAAATGAATTAAAGAAGGGAGAAGTTATAATTTCATTTTGTTTCCTTTTGCAATATATAAATAAAATATATAAATAAATTTCAGATCTTTCTGAAATTAAAATTTTTCACTTTTTTATATTTTATTTTTTGAGACAGGATCTTATGGAACCCAAATCAGCCTGGAACTCTCTATACAGCTGTGGATGAAACTTGAACTCCTGACCCTCCTGTTTCCACCTCCCAAGTTCTGGGGTGACAACATTACCATGCCTGGCTCCAGATCTTTTATAATATAATCATATACTGGAACCTGCTAGGATCCTTCTACATGTATGGTTTTATGTCCTGTTTTCTTTCTTTTAATAATTTATTTTTATTTTATGTACATCAGTGTTTTGCCTGTGTGTGTATCTCTATGAGGGCATTGGATCCCCTGGAACAGGAGTTACAGACAGCTGTGAGCTGCCATGTGGGTGCTTGGAATTGAACCCTAGGTCCTCTGGAAGAGCAGCCAGTGCTCTTATCTGCTGAGCCATCTCTCCAGCCCCCTTATGTCCTGTTTTCTGTGACTCATACATAGTTTACAGGGTTCTAGAAGTTCTTTGGACTGAGGATGAAGCTCAGTGGTCGAGTATTTGTCTAACATGCCCAAGGCCCTGGGTTTGATTCCCTGGCTCCACAAAGAAAAAAAAATCTTTGAAGTAGTTCTATAATTTCAGTTATATTCTATACCTGACTGTACTGTAAATCGTTTGGCCACTCTCTTTGAGTTTCTATGACTGTGGCTAAGGCTTTTTTTGTGTGTGTCACTCAACACTTGGGTGTTCCCTTATAGGATTACAGGGTCAAAAGAGGATGAAACCATGCTGACAGGATGGCTCAATGGCTCTTCCAGATTGGTTTCTATTACTGGCCAAAAGCAACTTGGGAGGAAAAGCTTTATTTGGCGACATGTCCATCATGAAGGGAAGTCAGGGTAGGAACTGAAGCACAGACTGTGGAGGAGAGCTGCTTACTGGCTTGTTCCCCATGGCTTTCTCGGCTTGCTTATACAACCCAGGACCACCTGTCCAGGGACGACACTGCCCACAATGCCTGGGCCCTCCAACATCAACCACTACCAGAAAACACCCCACAAACTTGATGACAGGTCAATCTGAAGGTGGCATCTTCTCAGTTAAGGTTCTCTCTTCCCAAACAACTCTAGTTTGTGTCAGGTTGACAAAAACTAGCACAGCGGGCAAAGTGCTTGCTAGGCAAGCGTGAGGCCCTGAGTTTGACTCTACTGTCCACTTAAAAGCTGGTCATGGCCCCACATGTCTGATCCCCGATCACCTGATTCCAAATCAACACACAGAGGCTTATATTACTTGTAAATGTTCAGCTGATAGCTCAGGCTTATTACTAACTAGCTCTTACAACTTAAATTAACCCATTTCTATTAATCTACATTCTACCACATAGCTCATGGCTTTACCTGTTCTCCAGCATGTCTTGCTCCCTCTGCGGCTGGCTGGTGTCTTTCTCACTCTGCTCTCCTTCCCATCATTCTCAGTTTTGCTTTCCCGCCTACCTTCCTGTCTGACTACCAACCTGTCAACTTTTTATTAACATATTCACAGTGTACACAGAAGGATCATTCCACAGCACCCCAGCACAGTGGAGGTGAAGACAGATGCATTCTGGGGGCTTGCTGACTAGCTAGCCTGTCTCTGTGTTCAGTGAGAGATTCTATCCCATAGAGCAAAGTGGAGAAGCCACTGAGGAATACATCCCAACATCTACTTCTTACAGCTTTACACACAACTACGTGGAACATGCGCCCCATGCACATATGTAACACATGCACACACCACATATATGCATACATACAAACAGACAGACAGACACACACACACAAAAGACAGTGAGTCCAAAAGTCTGGACCCTTTGGGCTGGGGATGTAGTTCAGTTGGTAGAGTGATTGCCTAGCATACACAAGGACCTTGGTTTGATTCCCAGCACCACATAGACTGGGCATAGCAACACATACATGTCTATAGTCCCAGCATTTGAGTGGTAGAAGCAGAAAGATCAGGAGTTGAAGGTCATCCTGGGCTACGTAGCAAGCTTGAGGCTAGCCTGGGCTACATGTCGAAAAAGGAAAAAAGGAAGATCACAGAGATGACTTTCTTTGGCTGGAGAGTACAAGGCATGCCAGCAACATTCAGCCCCAGAATCCCTGAGCTTACGAATACCCTGGACAGCTCCTTTAACACCCTTCCTTTTTTTTTTTTTTTTTCCCCAAATAAAAGGAGGGGCAAAGGTTTAATTCACTTGTCATTTTTTGGCAGTTCTCAGCCACTTGTCCAGGACACCCACATCAGCCCTAGACAAACCTCTCTGAGAGCAGTCTTTGGTCCAGACTTGGCCAGGCCCTCAGACTCCAGGCTTGGGTTGTTTTTAGAAACTCAATGGCATCATAACACAGAAAAGGGACATGCCAGATGACCAGCCAGCCAGCTGTGTTCTTCTGGTTCTCAGAAGCGAAGGCCATGTCCTTCCTCATCAGCTGACCCTGCCTGGTAAAACAAACCATCTCTCCCGACCCTGGGCTGAGCTGTGAGGTTTAGAGGAATGTCTAGGAACTGGTCGGAGAGGCAGTAACAGCTGGAGTGTAGCTAGAGCGATGACTTGGTCAGCAACAGAGACCTGAGATCAGGTCCTGGAACCCATGTGACAAAAGATGGATGTGGCAGTGCACACATGG